CCGGGCTGACTTCTCCCAGGCCGACGTGCACCGCCAGATTGCCATCGTGTTCAAGACTCCGCCCTACGAGGACCTGGAGATCGTGGAGCCTGTGACCGTCAATGTCTTCCTGCAGCGGCTCACCGACGGGGTCTGCAGCGAGCCCCTGGCCTTCACCTACCTGCCCCGGGACCACGGTAACCACAGCAACTCAGGACGACCCCCCGACCCCGGAGACCAGGCCTTTGGCCTTGCTTGGGCAGCTCAGAGGGAAAGGGGAAGAGGCAGAAGTAGAATGCAGGCTCAGAGCTGGACAGACTGGGGTTTGAATCCCGGTTCTGCCACTTACTGGCTGTGTGACCTTGGCCTCTCAGCATCTCACTCTTCTTCTGTGCAAAATGGAGATAATAATAGTATCCACCTCATGGCATTTGGGGGAGGATTTTTAAAAAGTATTTTTTTTTTATTGATTTCAGAGAGGAAGGGAGAGATAGAAACATCAATGATGAGAGATTAATAAGCTGCCTCCTGCACGCCCCCCACTGGGGATTGAGCCCACAACCCAGGCATGTGCCCTTGACCGTACTCGAACCTGGGACCCTTCAGTTCACAGGCAAATGCTCTACCCACTGAGCCAAACCGGCCAGGGCTTGGGGGAGGATTTAATCATTGCTCTCCTCATCTCGCTGCTCCTGTCTGGCCCTGTGCTGAGGACATAGTGGTGACCAAATAGCCCCAGTCCTACCCTCATAATTCTCAGACTTACGGAGGGCAGACCCAGTCACATACAGTGACAACCAGAGTGGGCAGGACTGGGAAGGAATTGCTCAGAGGACTCAGATTGCCCAGAAGGGGTACCTGACCCAGACTTAGGGGTCAAGGAGGGCTTCCTGGAGGAGGGGGCAGCTGAGCTGAAGATGGGAGGATGAATAAGTAGTTCTCCAGGAAAGCAGTGGGAGTTGAGGAAGAGGGTTATTCTGTTTTCTTAATCCTCACCCAAGGATAGTTTTTCTATTTTTTTTTTTTTTAGAGAGAGAGAGAGTGGAACGGAGGGAAGGAGATAGGAGAGAGAGAGAGAGAGATGAGAGACACATCAGTTGGTTGCTTATCACATGTGCCAGGGATCAGGCAGGGGATAGAAATTCCAATCTAGGTACGTGCCCTTGACCAGGAATCAAACCCGAGACCCTTGGGTGCGTGGACTGACCCTCTAACCACTGAGCGACACTGGCCAGGGTGAGAAAGAGTGTTATAAGCAGCTAGAACAGCAAGTGCAAAGGCCCTGAGGCAGGACAGTGCCTGGGGTGTTCCAGGACCAGCAAAGACCGGCGTGGTTAGAAGTGGGTTTGTGTTTTACCCTGATTGAGATGTGGACGTCTATTTGCATGGGTTGGTCAAGAACTAGAACAGCTCAGCAACGTCCTAAATGGTCTCTAAAAAATGAATTCTTTTTTTTTTAAAATATATTTTATTGATTTTGTACAGAGAGGAAGGGAGAGAGATAGAGAGTTAGAAACATTGATGAGAGAGAGTCATCAATCAGCTGCTTCTTGCACACCCCCTACTGGGGATATGCCCACAACCAAGGTACATGCCCTTGACCGGAATCGAACCTGGGACCCTTCAGTCCCCAAGCCGACGCTCTATCCATTGAGCCAAACCAGTCCCGGCTAAAAAATGAATTCTTAATTGTTCTTATTGATGGATTACTCTGATATCTCCTGAACAGACAGCTACGGCGTGGACAAGAAGCGGAAACGGGGGATGCCCGACGTCCTTGGAGAGCTGAACAGCTCTGGTGTGTCCCCTTTGTCCCTTCCCACACCCCTCTCCAGCTCCCCGGGAGGGGGTGACTGGCCCCATGTCCTGCCTGCCCCGGGCTGGGGGGCAGGGGCTGTTGGGTCCAGGGGTCCTCACCTCGCCTTCCCGCAGACCCCCATGGCATCGAGAGCAAGCGACGGAGGAAAAAGCCAGTCTTCCTGGACCAGTTCCTGCCCAGCCATGGCTCAGGTGGGTCCCAGTTCCGTGCCAGGTGCCCATCCCTTCCCCCTCCGGGTGGGCTGAGGCTGAGCTGCAGTCTTGGCTTCTTCTGGTCCCCCCAAAGCTCCCACAAGGCCAGTGACACCTCACTCAGCCAGCAACATAGTGGGAAGAACAGCCATTCTGGACGCAGTCCGGAGGCTCTGATCCCCACTGGACCATCTGCTTGCTGTGTGACCTTCGCCAAGTTGCTCCCCCTCTCACAGCCTCAGGGGCGTGCCTGGAAAGTCTCACCACACACCTATCTCATTGGCCTTTTACACTTTAATGTATGTATTTTACAGGCACTCTGACAGGTGCATAAGTGCTTTGTGTGTCTTTTCTCACTTGATCTGCGCCATCGCCCTGCAAGGTGGCTGCTCTCATTCTCCCCAGCCCCCGTTTTGCTGAAGCTCAGAGAGGAAAAGTCTTTGGTCCAAGGTCACACAGTTAACCAGTGGTGGAGCAGGGCATCTGAGCACCAGTATAGCTTAGTGACCACGGGTGTAAACAGGCAGCAGGGAGTAGGAGGTGGGTGACTGGGGATGGCTGTCAGAGCCAGCCCATCTCAAGTTCAGAGCCCGTCTGGTCTGACCACCCTCTGGCTTCTCCCCCTGCCTTCACCTCAACTCCCATGCCAGTCTCCAGTCCCCATGAACTGTAGTCCCATCTGGCTGCCATCAGAGACCTCCCACCTGCTGACCACTAGCTCTGTCCCTGACACCCCGCTCGCTGCCCCAGGGCACCCAGCTCCAGGCCAGCCACCCACCACTCAATCAGCCCAGCCTGGACATTGCAAGACCATTTGTCCCTCCCCCCACAGCCACTGGTAACCAATGCCCAGCCTCTTCACCCTATTTGTTAAGATCATGTTTAATGGTATTCACAGCCAAACTCAACACAGCAGAGGTTTCGATAGGACAGAATGTGTCTGTCCTTTCACATAAACACCGTCCAAAGGTAGGTGGTCCAGGGGTGGTTTGATGGCCACATGGTCACCATAGTCCCAAGCTTCTGGCTTTTTCAACTCAGTCTCCATGTCATGGTCCAAATGTCTGCTGCAGCTCCAGCCATCATGCCCACATTCCAGCCAGCAGAATGCAGGCAGGGCCCATATCGAGCTGCAAGGGATGCTGGGAAATAAAATCTCAGCAGCCCTGTGTTTCTGTCTGAGATAAGCATAATCAGACTTCGCTGGGGAAGTGTGTCTTGTCTCAAAAACAGAGGCTCTCCTATAACGACGCTTGTCATTTTACCTTCCAGTTTGGGGACTTGCGGCTTTCTCATGGGGTGAATATTTCACTTTTTTGATTGTCTTTGTGTCTGGGGGGAGGGAGGGGCTGTTGAGCCTTGGGATTAGAAGAGGCCACACTGATCACACATTTTGCCGGGACTGGCCATTGGAGCTACAGCCTGGCCAGAAGTGGACTCTAAAGCCACCACCACGCTTCCTTCTCTCTCTTCTCATCCCTGCAGGCCCGTTCCTCCCACCGTCAGCCCTGCTGCCTGATTCCGACTTCTTCCCCAGCGCTGTGTCCCTCCCTGGCCTGGAGCCGCCTGGTGGGCCGGACCTCCTGGACGACGGTTTTCCCTATGAAACTACGAGCCCTGCGCTCTTCACCATGCTGGACATGCTGCCCCCTGCTCCGCCACTGGCCAGCGCTGTCTCGGGCAATGGGGTTGCAGGGGCCACCGTGGGGGAGCCATCGGGCCCTGAGCCAATGACACTGGACTCATACCAGGCTCCGGTCCCTGGGGATGGGGGCACTGCCAGCCTTGTGGGCAGCAACATGTTCCCCAACCAGTACCGCGAGGTGGGCTTTGGGGGTGGCCTCCTGTCCCCTGGGCCTGAGGCCACGTAACCACCTCAGTGCCAGAGGAGAGGCACTGGGTGGGGAGGGAGGTGGACGGGGCCATGGGAACCCCGCCAGGATGGGAAGTACCCCCTTTGGGCCACCCTTGGTTAGGTCTCCCCACCTCATCCTGCTGAATCGGACGTTGTCAGCATTGGTGAGAAGCTCTGCAGCACGGGGTTTCCCCTGAGCCCACTTTACAGATGAGAAAACTGAGTCCAGAGAGGAAAGGGACTTTGTTCCCATGCACTTAGTCCCCACAGTTGGGGACACCTTCTCCTGGATGATTCTGACGAGTGTACATACGGAGGTATTCCAGCCCGCCTTCCCCATGAAGATAGGGGACAGACAGGCTGTTGTCTTTCCAATAAAGATGAGTTTTGAGCCTTAGGGGTCTTGTCTCTTTTTTTGTTATTAGTTCCTCCTCAATCTGTTTCTTAGGATGCTTATCTGCGCGTTCAGTTTTTATTCTTTTTTGTTTTATGTATTTACTTTTTTCTTTTTTATTATATTTCCAGGATATATTTTTTTCTCATTTTTTTAAATTAAGGTATTATATGTGTACATACCTTACCAATCCCCACCCCCACCCCACTCCCATACACACCCTCCTTCCCCAGAGTTTTCCGTCCATTGGCTATGCTTATACGCATGCATACAAGTCCTTGGGTTGATCTCTTATCTCCCCCATATCTCCCTATCCTCCCCGCTGAAATTTGACTGTTTGTTTCTTTACTGTCTGTATTTACTTTTTATTGTTGACACCGCTACAGATGTCCTCAATTTCCCCGCTTTTACCCGCCTCCACCCAGCCCTCCCCCTCCCCCCTCATCTCTAACCCATCTTCCTTTCCCCTTTCCCACTCCCCCCACCTTTTCCCCGTCCCACACCCTCCCGCTCCCGCTCCCGCCTTCCCCACACGGTTGGGACCTCACGGACCACGGATTGGCCACCGCAGGGTCCCAGCCTGCAGCCTCCGCCCCGCCTCCCCAGGCCCCGCCCCCTCAAGGACCCGCCCCTGCCGTAGCGGAAGCGCGCTCTGCCAAGTCCCGCCTCCTTCCCTATGCGCGGCCTTCCACTTCCGCTTCCGGTGCGGGCCGCGCGCGAGCGCAGCTGAGGCAGGCGGCGACGAGCCGGTGAGTGCAGGCCCCCGTCCCGGCGTCTGAGCGACGTCAGCCCAGCTTCCCCCTCGCCTCCGCCCCTCCCCGGGCTTCTGTGAACTTCTGCTCGGCCCCGGCCCCGAGGGCCTCGCACCCCGCACCCTCTCCGGCCTGCGGGGCCTCAGGCCGCGCCGCCGCTTCTGCCGTGGGCCGGAACTCCCCGCGGCCGACCCCGCCGCGGGCCACAGGTCCCGCCCCCTTGTCAAAATAAGAAAAAAGCAGTCCGAGCCCTCAGGGACTAGATGGATAGATGGGGTCTTCGAGCCCTTTCCTAAGCGTCGGGTTCCGCCCCTGTCCGGGAGCCTTGCCCCTAAACTGAACCCACGCCTGCTCCGCCTCACTCAGCCTCTGCTCCCCCTTCCCCTTCATAGCCCCTCAGCCCTCAGCCCTGCTGTGAGGAAAGATAGCACTCCCCCATGTTCCTCCTCCTCCAAGCCTCGGCATCCCTCCGTGCCCTTCACCTGCCCTCGACCTCCACCTCCTTCCTAAAGTCCTTTTCTTCCACCTGCCTTCATTTTCATCCCCTCCAACTCCTCCCATCACGGCTGGCTTCTGGTGGGAGCCATTTCAGCTCTTCCCTTTCCCTTGAGCTCCAGTCCCAGCTGCTTGGTGTCTGTCTCCAGAGCTTGCTTCACACACTCGCTCTTTCCGTTCCAAAACCGTTCATCCTTGACTCCAGCCCCGAGGTGGACGCTCACTCCAGAATCCCCTGGGGGTTTTCCAGAACGTCCATGCTACCGGATCAGAGTTGTCAGGGATACGCCTGAGCATCCGGTACACGGTTCTGCAGCCTCGCTCGCTCTCCCGGAAGCTGGCATCTAGGATGAGCTCTGTCACCAACTTGTAGGTGACTTTGATTCTGCCCACATGTTTTCTGCAGCCCATCTGACTCCCTCGTCCCATCACCCCCCAGGTGAAGGCCTCAGGCCTGGCCTCTCCACCATGTGGCACGAGGCGCGCAAGCATGAGCGGAAGCTTCGAGGCATGATGGTGGATTACAAGAAGAGGGCGGAGCGGCGGAGGGAGTACTATGAAAAGATTGTGAGTAACTGACCTTTAATCTGGGGTGGGAACTCCCTGAGAGGGTGGGGTCCTGGTCATCCTGGTAAAATTTGGGCTCAGTTTTCTCAGAACATTCAGCCATTTCTTGGGCATCATCAATGCGAAAACCCTGTGGCATTCTGTTTGTTAGCGCATTCTGTGGTGTTTGGTGTGGCCTCAGAGCGCAGAGCTAGTGTTAGCAGGAAGAAGGAAGGTCTTTAGCCCGCGGAGCAGTCCAGATAGGAGACTGGCCACCTCCGGAATGTTGTTTGTCTTGCTTACTGCTGTACTCGCAGTGTCCAGGGCTCCGCCATTCTTGAGGTTGGCTTGGCATTCAGTATTCATTAAGTGAACTCTGACCACTTCCCTCTCCTGTTTGATGCCGTAATGCTTCACCTTTAGAGAGAAAACCAAACTCCATTCCATGACCTAAAAGGTCCTTCTGGTCTGTCCTCTACCGGTCTCTCAGCTTCAGATAGCTCCAAAGTCCTTTATTGCATCTCTGCTACCACACATTGTGCCTGTATTGCCTCCCCTCATCTATCTAATTCCTACTTGTCATTGAGACCCCAGTTTTAAAAGGCACTTATGTCCTAGGGTTCGTGTTCCAATTATATGATATTTATATGGACACTTCTAGTGCGACTGTGTTACCGCCCCAGCCCCCTCCCTAGTCTCCTGGCCTTTAGTCCTGCTCCATCCAGCCCACCCTCTTCAGAGGACTCAGAGAGGTCTTTCTAAAGCTCAGAGCTGATTCCGTCCCTCATTTGCTCAAAACTCCTTTGTTTTTTAAATATTTTATTGATTTTGTACAGAGAAAAAGGAAGAGAGATAGAGCTAGAAACATCGATGAGAGTCATCGATCAGCTGCCTCCTGCACACCCCCCACTGGGGATATGCCCGCAACCAAGGTACATGCCCTTGACCGGAATCGAACCCGGGTCCCTTCAGTCCCCAAGCCGACGCTCTATCCATTGAGCCAAACCAGTTTCGGCTCAAAACTCCTTTGTGGCTTCCTAGTGCCCTTGAGAGAAAATCTAGGCTTCTCATCACAGCGTTCAAGGCCCTGCTGGTCTGGCTTTTGCCTCCTTTCAGACTCACACCACCTGTTCTGCCTCAATCCTTTGCTCAAGCCATCTGGCCTCCTCACTACCTAGGTGACCATCTCTAATACAAAAGATACAAGAATATAAATTGCCCTAGCTGGTTTGGCTCAGTGAATAGATCGTCAGCCTGCAGATTGAAGGTTTGATTCCGGTCAAGGGCATGTATATTGGTTGCGGGCACATCCCCGGTGGGGGTTGTGCAGGAGGCAGCTGGTCAGTGTTTCTCTCATCGATGTTTCTAGCTCTCTATCCCTCTCCTTTCCTCTCTGTAAAAAATCAATACAATATATTAAAACGTGTGTGTGTGTGTGTGTGTGTGTGTATATATATATATATATATATATATATATATATATATATATATATTATTGATTTAGAGAGGAAAAGAGAAGAGAACAGATAGCCTGGTTGCCTCTTCTATATGTGAAGTGATGTAACATGTAGAGTCAGGTTTGGCTGTGAATAATAGAGACCTAAAACATCAGTGGCTTAAACAAAACAAAAAAATTATTTCCTTTTCCACATAGATGCACATTGGTACCCAGTTCTGTCTAGCTCTACATGACTTCTCTTCCCAGTATTGTGTCAGGGTCCAAGAGGGCTGCTCAAGCTCTGGCCATCATGTCTTCATTCCACCCTCTAGGGAGGGAGGAAGGAGGGAAAAGGGACCAAAATGCTCATGTCAGTGTTAAGAAAGTTTCTAGGTGTTTGCACATGACACTTCAACTTATGTGGCACTGGCCAGAAAGTAGTCCTGTGGTCAGGGAGGCTAAGACATATAAACGTTATTCTGGGCGGCCTTGCGCCAGGCATATCAGGAGTCCTATTCCTGCTGGAGAAGGGGGATGGGTCGTATGCCACTTCATGTACGTCACGAATGGTGGGGATGAGAGCAGTTCCCACACAGGGCCGCTGGAGTATTTGGTTAGATTGAGCACAGAGAGCCCTGAGCGTGGGCGTGCTCAGGGCAGCGTGCTCAGTCAGCGTTACCTCTTGTTGTTCCTGAACTTGTTATTACCAGGTAGAGCTGGAATTTGCATCCGGGTCGATGGTGTAGACCACATGTGTCAATCACAAGGCCCGCGGGCCAAATCCGTCCCGCCAGGCCTTGCAATGTGGCCCGCACCGCTCTGTCATCACTGCACTTCGCTGCGTTTCCATCACAATGACAGTTTATGACTGTTCAGTAAACCATTCGGCCGCGATTTAGGCTGGATTTTAGATTTTGGCCCCTTCTCTGATTGAGTTCGACACCCCTAGTGTAGAGTGTAGACGAAGGAGGGCTGGAGTTGGGTCACTCTGAAGGCCTGGGGCTCCAGGCTCCTTGTTAGCAGGGAGCTCCCTCAGCTTTATTTTCCCCTTGGGACAGTGGTGATGATCAGCCCCTCTCATAGGGTTAACTGGGAAAAGCATCAAGAACAAGAACAGTGACTGGTGCAGGCCTGTACAAGCTGTCATTGTCCCCATACATGAACGTGACCAGCATTCCAATCCAAACCACCAAGCTGTGGACAGTGGCAGCGGCTGGGCAGTTGCTGATGGCTGCTTTGAGGCGGGGATGGGCTGCTTGCACAGTCTTTTATATCATTCTTGGGCTGAGAGAGGTGGTTGTGGGCGAGTTTTGAAGAAGCTGAGGTATATTGTGGCAGGCCAGAGATGTGTCCAGATGAGGTGACTTCCCTGCCTCTGATTTGTCCTTGATGCATGAATCCTTTCTCTCCCTAGCAGACATTGGTTCTGTTATTGCTCCTGTCCTTGTCAACTCTCTTCTTTAATCAGTGCTTTGCATAAAGGAACAATTCCTTGAAGATATGATAGTTGGGGAAAACCAAATCTCAGCTCAAGTGTCTCCAGAAAGCCCCTGACTGAGTGAGGCACCCCCTTGGACTCCCCACTCCAGGTCATCACTGTTGCCCGGATCTATCCCCCACACTAGAATTGTGAGCTGTGACAGCAGCATAGGGTCTACACATAGTTGCCTGCTTAACAGCTTCATGAATGAATGAAAAACTTTATGGAATGAACTCTTCTGATCCTGGCAGCAAAATAATTGAGGGTTAATAATGGATTTTACGTAGGTATAGATATAGATATAGATATAGAGATATAGATATAGATATAGATATAGATATAGATATAGATATAGATATAGATATAGAGCAAGTGGGGGAGAGAGAGACCTCAGTATGAGAGCAACATCCATTAGTTGCCTCCATGCCCTAGCTGGTTTGGCTCAGTGAATAGAGTGTCATCCTGCAGACTGAAGGGTCCCGGGTTCTATTCCAGTCAAGGGCACATGCTCGAGTTGTGGGCTTGATCCCCAATAAGGGGCATGCAGGAGGCAGCCGATCATGATTCTTTCTTATCATTGATATTTCTCTCTCCCCCTCTCTGAAATCAGCAAAAATATTAAAAAAAAAAAAAAAAAATCAGTTACCTCCTGTATGTGCTCCAACCGGGAATCAAATCCACAACCTGGGTATGGTCCTGACTGAATCAGCCGCGCATCCTTTTGGTGTGTGGATGATGCTTCAATCCAGCCACCCAGCCAGGGCAGATGTTAGGTTTTGAAGAGATATTTGTATATCATGTTCATTGCAGTATTATTCACCATAGTCAAGATATGGAAATAACCTCAATGTCCATCTGCTGATGAATGGATAAAGAAAATGTATATAAGCACAATGAATATTATTCAGCCTTAAAAAGGAAGGAAGTCCTGTCACATGCTACAACATAGAGAAACCATGTGGACATATGCCTAGTGAAATCAGCCAGTCACAAAAAGACACATACTGCAAGATTCCACATACATGAGGTACCTAAAGTAGTCAAACCCTTAGAGAGAATAGAGTGCCAGGGCCTGGAGGGGACGGAAAGGAGAGAGACTCAGTGTCAGTTTTGCAGGATGAAAAGGTTGCGGAGGTCTATTGCACAACGAGGTGTGTATACTTAGTGCTGCTGTACTGTACGCTTGGAAGTGCTTAACACGGTAAATGTATGTCAAATCCATTTGGGTTCAAATCCTAGTTGCCTTATTACTAATGTGATCTTAAGCAAGTGGGTTTTACTGTCTGAGCCTCAGTTTCCTAACCTGGAACATGGGGCCAAGAGTAGTACATTTCTCCCATGGTTGAGAACTTTGAGTGAGAAACTGTACATAAAACACTTATTAATGCCTGGCTTTTGGTATGTCGTTGATTTTTCCAGAATCTCCCAACAGAGCCAGACTTGGGACTCAGGTTTTTACTCTCAGCCCAATGCTTTTTCCTTACTGTGGCGACTGCCCTGCCAGTGGTTTTCCTGCACCTGCCAAAGTCCATCCCGCAAACAATGTCCTATGAGTCCTGGCTGTGGGAACTGGGCCTTTGGCCTGGAGCAGCCTGAGGGGTGTGAGGATGTCTTGGCCTTAGACTTGGCCAGGGCCTGTCATGGGGCTGAGGAGCCTATGGCCTGAGAGGAGCAACTGAAGGAGGCAGGTGAGGGGCAAGTGAGGAGTTGAATTCTAGCAGCGCCACCACTGGCAGCTTCTGGGTGTGAAATGGGGACAATAGGGGCCCAGCACCTGGGCCTCAGCAGGTGTAGCTAGTGGCCCGATACCAGCTCTGGCCCCTCAGCTCTTTGTAGTGGAAGGTGCTCCTGTCCATCTGCTGGCTGGGGTTCGGGTGGGAGGTGGAGGCAGTGAGGAGGTGCAGAATCTTGGAAACTTGATGCTGATGGCTTTTCCTGGAGGGACTTCATCTCCTCTGTCAGTGAGCAATGTTCCTGAGCACCTGCAGTGGACCTGGCCTGTTATAGCCACTGAGTATATGACTGGACAACAGAGATCCCTGCCTGGGGGAAGTGATGTTTTAGTGCGAGAGACAGGTGATCAGTGAATGTGAGGTGCAAAATCAGGTGGTGGTAGGTTCTCTGAAGCAAACAATGGAGTCAAGGAGATAGAGGAAATGGGTTGTGAGGCAAGCTGTTTCGATAAAGTTGACGGGGAGGCTTCTAGAAGTGAAGGGGTGTTATGCACAAGAGCATGGCAGGTCGGGAGCAGAGCAAGCACTGAGGTCCTGAGTGGAGCATGGGCAAGCCTGGATGATGACGGAGTGGTGCAGGCCGGCTGCCTGGAGCAGAGCTGGGGAAGAGCATGCAAGGGCTCCAAGCAGAGAGATGAATAGGTTTTCCCAGAACCCCCTGGGCCACTGGAGAATGGACTGCAGAGGGTGAGCTGGCCACGGGGGGTCCTAGAGGAGGCCTCTACCTGGGCCCAGCGGGAGGCGATGCTGGCTGGAGCAGGGGAGGAATGCTGACGGAGTTGTGGGCAGGAGTTGGGTGCTTGGGAAGCTTGGCAGCCTTCCCCTGGCTCTCCTGGGTCCTGTGATGTGGCATCAGCCGAGCGCAGCCAGGGCCCATCACATGGGATGCTCAGTGGTGCAACTGCTGCTGCTAGACTTCCTCCTTTCCTGACAATTACAGTGCCTAGGAATGGTGATCCACACACAAGCACCTAGGGGCGTACGTAGTCTCAGGGATACTCACCTCTATCTTTGTAACTTTAAAAAAACCTAGCTTTTTGAAGATGTAATTCACATACCACACAATTCACTCATTTCAGGTGAGCATTTCAGTGGTTTACAGTATATTCACATGGTTGTGCAACTGTCACCACAATTAAGTCTAGAAAATTTCATGACCTTGAAAAGAACCTGTACCCATTAGTCACCCCCCTGCCCCAAACTTCCCAGTGCTGGGCAACCACTGAGCTGCTCTGTCTCTGGATTTGCCTGTTCTGGACGGTTCCATAAACGGGATCATCCTTTCGTGCCTGACTTCTTTCCCCTACCATAATGTGCTCAAGGTTCGCCCTTGTTTTAGTGTGGATTGCTGCCTTCTTCCTTGTTATTGCCAAACAGTATTCCATTGTCTGGATGTACCCCGTTGTATCTGTCATCTGTGGGCGGCAATTTGGGTTACCATTCACAATTCTGGCTATTGTGAATGGTGCCGTTATGAACATTTGTATACAAGTATTTGAGTATCTGTTTTAGGTTCTTTTGGCTGTTTACCTAGGAATGGAATGGTTGGGTCACACGGCCATTCTTTGTTTAACTGTTTGAAAAACCTAATTTCTCCACATTCTTGCCAGTACTTGTGTTTTCCGTCCTTTCCATTTTAGCCATCCTAGTAAGTGTGGAGTGGTACCTCATGGTTCTCAATAGTATTTCCCTGATGACTAATGACATTGAGCATCTTTCCATGTGCCTGGTGTGAGGCTGATCCGGGCCAAAGGGCTCTGAAAGCCCTGGGTGGGGTGAAGGGTTGGGAGTCATACTTTAGGGAGGGAGGTCTTGGTACTGACTGTGAAGAAGATTGGAGCTCAGAGCCTGTTGTCCCTACCTTGAGAGGAAACCCCTTGTTCCGTTGAGGTTGAGTGGCCCCTGTTGGTGCTGCCGCTCTGAGACAGGGCCTGCTTGACACAGAGGTGAGCTCGCTGCTGTCCGTGGTTGTGTGGAGGGGAGTGAGGTTTGGAGCTCAGTTGGGAGATAACCTCCATCCTGTCTGTCCCTGCAGAAGAAGGACCCAGCCCAGTTCCTGCAGGTGCATGGCAGAGCTTGCAAGGTACACCTGGATTCTGCAGTTGCCCTGGCCGCAGAGAGCCCCGTCAACATGTAAGACTGAGTTTGAGGGGCCAGATAATGTCTGTGACCGAGGGCTACGAGGGACCTGGGGTATGGGCAGACCTTTGGGGACTCAGGCAAGCAAGGCTTGACCTGCATGGGAAGGTGTTAGTCACCAGCTAAGGAGAGCCAGCGAGTTAGAATGGAGGCTCTAGGGTGTAGTGGTGGCTGTAGGGCTTAGAGGGGAATTGGTGGGACCAGGGCTAGGATCAGAGGCTGAGTTGAAGCAGGGAGTAGGTGGCCAGAGGAGGTGTTTCAGGTGACAGGCTTGGCACGTGGCCCCCAGGACCGGGTTCAGGTTCTTCACACTTACTTGGTTTTGAGGAAAAGAGCCCCGTTTCTATAGTGCTGTGCTCAGGCCCCTATTCAGGCAGGTTTGTACCAAAGGGACTGAGAGGAGAGGGGATTAGAGAAGATCGAGGGCCAGGCTCCAAGCTTCAGGTGCAGGGCATAGGTACGTTGTGCCTGGGCATTCCCTAAGCTCCCTGCTTCCCACTTCAGGATGCCCTGGCAGGGAGACACCAACAACATGATTGACCGCTTTGATGTTCGCGCCCACCTGGACCACATCCCTGACTACACCCCCCCACTGCTCACCACCATGTAAGCTGTCTCCCCAAGGGGTTGCCAGGCAGGGAGACCGACCCAGCAGCGACTCTTCTTTCCCACGCCCGTGCCCGCCTGCCACCTTCCTGGAAGGAAGGATGTGTGCAGCTGGGGAGCCCTCCCCAGGCCCCCAGCCTGAGCCAAGCCCTTCATACCCCCTCTTGCTGGCCTGGGGTGGGATCTGCCTTCTCTCTCTGATCTCAGAACCTTGACTTCTGCCAAAGCTCCCCAGAACAGGAATCGGACGAGCGGAAATGTAACTACGAGCGCTACCGTGGCCTGGTGCAGAACGACTTTGCTGGCAGTGAGTGATCTTGGGTGTGGGAGGTGGTGCGGGGGCCCTAGAGACTGGGAGACTTTGACACGTTTGGGAAGAAAAGTTTCCTCCCAGGGCTTTCTTCTGAAGGGCCCTAGTTTTGGTCTCAGCTTTGGTCTCAGCTCTGTCCCTCTCGGGCCTCCTCTTGACCCAGTATGGAGACGTCTGCCGAACTAGACGGTCCTGCCAAGGTCACTTTTACATCCCTGGCTCTCTGACTCCATGGTCTTCCTAAAAAAAAAAAAAAAAAAAAATGGAGAAAGCTGCAGTAACACATTGTTTTCCTCTGTGTATTTTCCCTACCTGCGTGGGTCAGAAAGTGAGCTCTGAGGAGGAAATGGCTCCTGTTTTGAACAATTATTAGGCTGAGTTTGCCAGTTTGCCAAGTGTTCATATATGTCCACTATTGTTCTCCACGCAATCACTGTTACCTTCCAGAGAAAATGGAGGCTCAGGGAGACTTCCCAGCTCTTGGCTTGCCTAGGGAGGTTTGGACCCTGGCCATCTTGGGCTTTTTAAAAATCTCATTACATCTGCATATCCACCCAGCAAGGCAGTGTGATGCCCCATTTTCCAAGCAAGGACAGGGTAGGTCAGGAGTTTTCACAGCCACAATGCTCCCCCAACCTGTACCCACCACTGCTTCCTGAGGGCCAGCTCCAAACTCTAGCCGGCCCCCCCGAGGGCTGTGAGGGTGAATGAGAGCCCTGGTGGCTCTAAACCATACTTTGTTTTTTTGTTTTGTTAATCCTCACTGGGGAGTATTTTTTCCATTGATTTTTGGAGGCGGGGCGGGGGTGGGGGAGAGAAAAAAACGATGTGAGAGAGACATCCATTGGTTGTCTCCTGCACGCAACCTAGTCAGGGCCAGGGATTGGACCTGCAACCCAGGTACAAACCCTTGATAGGAAATGGAACCTGTGACCCTTTGGTGCATGAGAAACTCTATCCATTGAGCAATACCATCCAGGCTAAACTTAACCCTTTGCACTCCGAACCTTTCTGGACATTGGCTACCAGCTACTCGACGCTACTTTGCAGCGAACACGTGCGTTGAATTAACTCAATTCCCCGTAATCACTAATTAACTGCAATGTCCCCCCTGAGAGGGGACATCCGAGTGATATGCTAGAATTCTGATGTCCCCTGAGAGTGGACAGCGGAGTGCAAAGGGTTAATTTAAATTGAACACAATGGAGAGGCCGTAGGGCCATGTGACGACCAGTATTCAGGATAAGTTTATAGTTCTGAAGGGTCCAGCCAGAGGCTTAGCAGTGTTAAAGTAGCAGTGCCCGAGTACCAAGCACTCACTCTGCCAGTGGTCCCATTTTACAGAAAAGGAAACGGAGGCACAGAGCCATGAAGTCCCTTGATTGGGGTCATGTGGTAAGTTAGTGGAATAGCCAGGGCCCCCTGCAATAGCTGCGTCCCCAGCGCACACAGTGTGTGATTATCTAGAAATCAGTGACTGTCCCTGCCCGTCTTCCCCTGACTGCATTCTGTGTTTGCTCCTGAAGTCCCAGTGTCCCCAATGACCTGCTTGCCTTTTGCCTCGTTGCAGTCTCAGAGGAGCAGTGCCTGTACCAGATCTACATTGACGAGTTGTATGGAGGCCTCCAGAGACCCAGTGAGGACGAGAAGAAGAAGTGAGTGGGGATTGGGGCACTGAGGGGTTGGGGGAGGCAGGGCATGGCCTCATCCATCCTCTTCTCCCCAGTGCCGGGTCCAGTGTTCGGCACGCAGTAGGCACTTGGTAAATGTTCAGAGAAAGAGAAGCAGCAGCTGGAGGGGAAAGGTTTTCTGTAAAACTTGTACAGTATGTTTTCAGCTTGTGGAGTAGTGGGAGGTGCAGTTAGGAGGGCAGGCCCTGTGGAGAGATTGGAATCCTGCGGGTGAGGACCTCCCTCTGGGGTCTGGAGGTGCTCCTCTCTAAGGTGGGCTAACAGGAGGCCCCTCTGCCGGGAGTGGCGAGGACTGCAGGGATGGAGCTTGGAATGTGCTTACCCAGTGCCTGCCGTGCGGAAAGCTTGCAGTCAGCAGTTGATTGTCACTCAGAGGGCTTTCTCACGGCTGTGTCCCTTGAGGAATTACAGTGCGGGGGGAGGGGGGGTCCTTACCCTGGAGCAGGGAGGTCCCCAGCTGCCATCTTGGGAGAGCAGCAGTCAGGCAGTCTCGCTTCTCTCTCCACCCTGGTCTGGCTGTGCTTGGTCTCCCTTTGCCTTTGCACACTGTTTCCTCCAGGGATGGCTGTCCCTCCTCCAGGGCCCCTGCAGTCCCACTTGCTCCACAGTGCTCCTGGATGGATCCCTGACTCCTTCCCTCCTGCCAAGGCCTCCCCTTTGTGAGCCTAAGGCTTGCTGCTTCCCTTCACCTGAAGTGCTTTCAGGGATGTGACTAATCCTATGCACGACCCCACTTTCAGGACGAGGCTGGCACTAGAAAGCGTCAGGGAATGTTGACTAAATTCAGCAGCACTAGGTAGACATACACTAGGCCCCGGTTCTGTTCTAGGCAAAGCTGGGCCACATTGTTACCCGAAATAACTCGGCCTTTCCCTTTAAGGCCTCCTAGTCTGGTGGAAGGAGACTGGTCTGTCACTGACCAGTGGACCCAACGTGGGCCAGGCAAGGGCTTGACCCCACCTGGGGAAGGACTTCCTGGAAAACGGAGTGTTAGAGCTGGGCCTGGAGGAGAGGGAGAAGCTGGTGGAGGTGGGTGCAGAGGGTTTCAGGCTGAGAGGCATACGTGAGGGCCTGTGTGCAGAGAGCTTGGTGTGCTGCGCCTCTCCCCTGGGTGCTGCCCTGGCTCACAGGCTCTCCGTTCCAGGCTGGCGGAGAAGAAGGCTTCCATTGGCTACACGTACGAGGACAGCACCGTGGCCGAGGTAGAGAAGGCGGCAGAGAAGCCAGAGGAGGAGGAGTCACCAGCTGAGGAGGAGAGCAACTCGGACGAAGATGAGGTCATCCCCGACATCGGTGGGGTCCCCTCTCTGCCCTCCCTCACCCCCCAGTCCCTGGGCATCGTTTTTTTGTGTGTGTGTCTCGTCCCTCTCCCTCTGTGGGGCACCTCGTGCTCACAAGCCCGTCTCTGCCAGCCCTGCTCCAGGGCACTCCAGCTTCCTGCCGCCTCGCTGTCTCCCTATGTGCTCTGTTCCCAGCTTCTCTCTCTGCCTCCCCTTTCTCAGTTTTAGGACACTGCTTTATGACACTCCCCACCTAGATTCTGGCTCCGTTCTCTTCTACTTGGGTCAGCCTCTGTCTCTCCCTCCCCTTTGTTTTCTCTCCTGGAAAACAAGTGGTCATCCAGTTACAGAGGCACCCGTCATGCCCCACCCTGCCGTTTCCCTACCTCTGCACCCATTGGTCCGCACCCAGCATCTTCCTCCTCTCATCCCAGCTCTCACTCAGCCAGCTACTGTGCACATGGAAAGTGTCCATCCCACTTCCACTTCTGTACCACCCACTGGCTCCTAATTGCCTGTGACCCACACCCATCTCCATCCACCCTCGGGCAGCCCCTAGTCACTCCTCTTTTCTCTATTCCCTTCATACGTCTTGCTCATCCTTCCCACTGCTCATGCTCCTGTGGGCTCCCACCATTACATCCCCTGCCCACCCCATGTACTGTGCCTGCTCTGGCCAAGCCCCGTGCCGGCCTGGGGACACTGAGATGACCTGACTCCCGCCCTCCCTGCAGAGGCCTTCAGTCTGGTGGGCTCCCCTGTCCTCTGTCTCGGCTTTGGCCCCTGACAGCCTTTCTCTTGGTGCAGACGTGGAGGTGGACGTGGATGAACTGAACCAGGAACAGGTGGCAGATCTCAACAAACAGGCTACAACCTATGGCATGGCTGATGGTGACTTCGTCAGGTGAGGCCTGATGGCTGACACCCTTCCTACTCTGGATGTGGTATTTCTCTTGTAATCCCGATACTAACAGCCACGCCATTACTGAGCACTTCATGTGCCTGGCCCTGCATTAAGGGCTTTACACACAGGTTCTGAGCTTGTGGGCTGGGTCCTTGTGACCCAGCTTTACCTGGGCAGAAATTAAGGCCAGATCCAATTCTATGAGACTGGTTATCAGGGCCCAGGGTTCCTGGGCCTGGTGGACAGCACCCTCTAGTGGACTGCCTTTGTTCACTGGGTCATTCTCTAGAGCGGGGCTGGTTGAGCCTCTGCCCTGTGCCACACCCCATGCAGGCTGCATAGAATGGCCCCGCTAACCAGGGCAGTGAGTTGGAATCTGAATAATTCAACACCACCTGCCCAGAACCCTCATGGCTCCCCCCTCACTCGGAGCAACCAGTGCTCTCACCACTGCCACAAGGTCTCACCTGTCTGGTCCTTTGGCCATCCACCCCATCCACCCACACACTCCAACCCTGCCACCTCCATGGCCTCCCTACGCCTCAAGTGCCAAGGCCACTCTGTGCAGTTGGCTCTGCTGGTATCTGTGCAGCTTACACCCTCCCCTCCAGGTTTCTCCTCAGCTCCCTTCCTTCCTTCCTTCCTTCCTTCCTTCCTTCCTTCCTTCCTTCCTTCCTTATTTCTCCTCAGCTTCTTGCTTGCTTTCTTTCTTTCTTTCTTTCTTTCTTTCTTTCTTTCTTTCTTTCTTTCTCTCTTCTCTCCCCCCCCCCCTCTCTCTCTCTCTCTCTCTCTCTCTCTTCCCTCCCTCCCTCCCTCCCTCCCTCCCTCCCTCCCTTCCTTCCTTCCTCCCTTCTTTTTTGTTGTTAATCCTCACCGGAAAACATTTTTCCATTGATTTTTAGAGTGGAAGGGAGGGGGAGAGACAGAAACATCAATGTGAGAGAGACACATCAATTGGTTGCCCCCTACACGCCCTGACCAGGGCCAGGGATTGAGCCTGAAACCAAGGTACGTGCTCTTGACCAGAAGTAAACCTGGGACCCTCAGTCTGTGGGCCGAATCTGTACCCACTGAGCCAAACTGGGAAGGCCCTCAGCTGTCACTTGCTGTGTGGCTTCCCTGATCCCCTGCGTCTGGCACTTTCTTTCCCCTTTCATGATTTATTTTCCCATCAAGGTTTTCACCATCTAACCTGTCATATGATTCGTTTCTGTGGGTCTTTTCCCCAGCATGTAAGCCCATGAAGATGAGATTTCTCTATTTTTCTTTTTTTAATACTGAATCCCTAACACCTGGCATTCAGTAAATGCTCAACAACAGTGCTGAATGAGTGAGAGGCCCAAGATGGCATTGAGTCCCCCTCCTCCTGCAGTGACTCTGCTTGTGGCCTTCCCCCTCCTCCTTGGTGACCCTCATCCCTCTCTGTGCAGGATGCTCCGAAAAGACAAGGAGGAGGCGGAGGCCATCAAACACGCCAAGGCCCTTGAGGAGGAGAAGGCCATGTACTCGGTGAGGGCTGGGCCGGGTGAGGGCAGGAGTGCGTCTCAGGGAGGGCACACCCCTCACCATCCTGGTACCCACCCTACTCCAGGGCCGTCGCTCCCGGCGCCAGCGGAGGGAGTTCCGGGAGAAGCGCCTGAGGGGCCGGAAGATCAGCCCTCCCAGGTAGGTTGGGTTCTTCCCGGTGCCTCCCACCCTGCCAGCGTCAGTGTTTCCAGGTTCTAGGGAGGGGACGGGTTCAGGGGGCAGGCATGTGGCTTGTGGAGGGAGAGTCCTCCTAGAGGGGCAGTGAATGGGGAGGGTTAGAAGTAGGAATGGCCTTGAGGGATATGTGGACACCCTGCCCTGCCAGCCGTTTTCCTCACTCTCAGGCCCCTGCCAGCATCTCGGGGCCAGTGGGAGGCGAGGAGGGGTGGCTGGAAAGGGCGAGGGCAGGGGCTGCTTCGTTGTTCCTCGCTGTCAGAGTTTGGGCAAGTGACTTCCTCTCACAACCTTAGTTTTCTTCTTTGGAACCGGACTGTGACCTCCCAGGAGAGGGGCTGTGCCAGTGCCCACATGGTGGTCTTGAGCACGTTTGGATAAGGCAGGCTGGCATGTGGAGAGTCACCCTGCCCCTGCCTCTTAGGCCTGGCAGCCCTTGGCAAGCCCATACCTCCTTTTGCCACATGTCCTGCATTCAGGGAGTGTGATTGAGGGTTGCCATGAGGCTTAAACAACCCGTTGTGGGCCCAGGGTTTGTTGTATGGTATGGAAAGTGTCTATTAAAGAGTCACACGGGTTCCCACCATCATTATCATCGCCGTGGGGCAGGCTTGGACCATATGGCCTGAGTTGGAATCCCAGCTTTCATTTATGAAATGTATGACTCTGGGCAAATGGCATTTAAGACATGTTAGTTCTTGTAATTTTATCACCTTCGTCATTAGTAAGCCAGGACCCACTTAGCAGAACCCAGGGCATGGAGTGGGAAGAGGGATACTTCCAGAATGGGTTCTGGAGCCCAAGCAGGCCTGGAGTCCTTGTTAGTTGGAGGTCAGGATGCATCTGGAACATTGGGGGGCAGGGTCAAAGGTAAGGCTTTAGAAGATCTAGGGAGGGGTAGACAAAGGGATCCAGGGCAGGCCCATAGCCTAGCCAGCAGCTTCCTTCTCACTGTGCCCAGTGTCTGGCCTTGGATGCCCAAGTTCAGGGGTTGGTCCAATTTTATGCCAGCTCAGATTCCAAAACCTCCTCTTGTTCCACTTTATTCTCTCTCTATAGCTATGCACGCCGAGACAGCCCCACCTACGACCCCTATAAACGGTGAGTTCCTGGGGACCCGGGGAACAGCAGCCAGCATACCCCGTAGTGGAGGGGTAGGGTGAGGAGGGGTACAGGGTGCTGTTAGGGTGCCCTGAGCTCACAGACAGGGTGATGTGTTCTTGGCGTCTTAGTACCTGATGTCAGCTGTGAGTCTGAATCTATTTTTATGTTATGTTATTGATTTATTTATTTTATATATGCCTATATTATTGATTTTAGAGAGGAAGGGAGAGGGAGAAAGATCAGTGATGAGAGGGAATCATCAATCAGTTGCCTCCTGCATGCCCCCTACTGGGGATCACTACCCAGGCCTGTTCCCTTTACCCAAATCCAACCTAGCACCTTTGAGTCCACAGGCTTACACTACCCACTGAGCCAAACTGGCTAGGGCTTTATTTTATTTATTGATTTGAGAGAGAGAAGGAACATAGATTTGTTGTTCCAATTATTTATGTTATGCATTCATTGGTTGCTCCTTGTAGGTGCCTTGACCAGGGATTAAACTCACAAACTTAATGTTTAGGTACAATGCTTCAACCAACTGAGCATCCTGGTCAGGGCTGAGGGCCCCACCCCCACTTTTCCAATTGTTTTCTTTATATATGAACCCTCTTTAATTTCCTGACTTACTCACAATGGAGTCTTGTGTTAAAGATGACAAGAAATGGCAGATAGGTGTAACTTAGAAATGGAAAGTGTCTTTAATTTGAACACCCAGAAATAAGCTGTGAGAACCGATAGGATGTGTGGCCTGTCTATTCCCATGTGTGTCTCTTGGATGTGGCACTGGTCGGGAAGGGGGTTTGAGGGTGGACAGACCTCGATCTGAGCTAATTCCCTCATGAGCAGGGGTGGTTGGTAGGGATCTGTTCAAGGGGCTGTCAGGAGGATATGTGAGGTGAGGCACCTTTTGGGGAGAGGTCTGGCATTGTACTACACTTTAATGTCTTAGAACACACATACACATACGCACTTAACATATATAGTGGGAAACCCTTCCATATTAAATGTATAGATCTGCTCCTCCCTTTTTCGTAGCCATGCACAATCAGCACAGTTCTCTGCCAGCCCTTTCCTGGCTCTTTGGGAAAGGCTGCCTGGTCAGGAATCAAATCCTGTACAGCCCTTGCAGCTATTCCTGGGTGCTGGGTGTTAGGTCCCACGCTGTTCTCATTGCTGTTGCTCTGCGGTGTGCATCCTTCGCTGGAGACGGGCTTGGGGAGCCTGATGACTGAGCACCTCCCCTCCTTCGTAGGTCGCCCTCGGAATCCACCTCCGAGTCTCGCTCCCGCTCCCGCTCCCCGACTCCGGGCCGCGAGGAGAAGATCACCTTCATCACCAGTTTTGGGGGCAGCGATGAGGAGGCAGCGGCAGCAGCAGCTGCTGCAGCCGCATCAGGGGCTGCCACAGGGAAGCCTCCCGCACCCCCCCAGCCTGGCGGCCCCGCCCCGGGACGTAATGCCAACGCCCGGTCGGTAACGCTCACGCTGCTCGCCCTACGCCCTGGCCACAGTCCTGGCCACCATGGGGGGACCTGGGGCAGGGGGCGCTGGGGCTCAGGCCAGTACTGACCTGCCCTCTGCCCTGCCTGCAGCCGCCGCTCCTCCTCCTCCTCCTCTTCCGCCTCGAGGACCTCCAGCTCCCGTTCCAGCTCTCGCTCCAGCTCCCGCTCCCGCCGTGGCGGGGGCTACTATCGCTCAGGCCGGCACGCCCGCTCCCGCTCCCGTTCCCGCTCCCGCTCCCGGTCCCGCTCCCGGCGGTATTCCCGGTCTCGCAGCCGTGGCCGGCGACACTCCGGTGGCGGCTCCCGGGACGGACACCGCTACTCCCATTCACCACCCCGACGCGGTGGGTATGGGCCCCGCCGCAGAAGCAGGTACGTGGGCCTGGCGGGCCTGGCGGGCCTGGCGGGCCTGGCGGGCCTGGGGGGCCTGGCGGGCCTGGGCCTGGCGGGCATGGGGGCGCGGGACCTGCTGGCGGCCTGGGCCCTGAGGTCATGAGACCAGGAAGCACTGGGTTTGTGGGCAGTCGGCCCACTCTGAGGCAGCTCCAACATGGTGACGGTGGGGCTCCACCACCTTGCTCAGGGATGCTGTGAGGACAGAGACCCAGCTGCTCTTCTCACAGGGAGTTCCTCAGCCGAGAGGTGGAGAGGTGCATGGGCACTCCCGGGGTCTTGTGGTTGTAGCAGAGTCTGGCCTTTAGAGCTGGGACAGCCCTTTGGGGGAAGGCAGGGTTTGAGGCGAGTGCTGCTGATGACTGGAAAAAAGCACCTAGAGACTGGGGTATCCCGCTCTCAGGTGACGTCAGGGCTGCTGTGGAAAGCGGGTCAGCTCCCTGGGTGAGAACATGGGCCTCGGAGCAATTGCCTGGCTGTAAATTCTGGCCCTGCTAGTGAACTTTGAGGGGGCCAGTTCTTTGTCTGTGAATTAGAGATAGTGTCCCCTGCACATGGTGAAAGTGTGACTTGTAAACCCATGTAACTGCTGAGTACATACACAGTAGCCTCGCAGTCGGGAAGGACGGTTACTCTTGTTAGCGCTGTCACCTGTGCTTTTCCTGTTTGCATCTCAATGTCAGCTATCTACGGGGTCTGGCAAGCAAAACAGAGCAGCAGGTGGAGCACATGTCCCATCCGAAGGGGTCATTGGCTGCTCAGTGATGGGCCTGGTGTTGACCAGTCGCCTGGTTTCTCAAGAAAAGTTGAGTCTGGATTTTTAAAGGGCAGCTTCTTGTTTTTTTTTTTAATATTGCCAACAAGTTAGAATTTTCTATCTTTTTTTTTAAGGTTTCTTTTAAAAATATATATATATGTTTTTTAAAATTTTTTAAATTGATTTCAGAGAGGAAGGGAGAGGGAGAGAGAGATAGAAACATCAATGATGACAGAGAATCATTGCCTCCTGATGGTCCCTACTGCGGATTGACTCTACAACCCAGGCATGTGCCCTTGACTAGAATTGAACCCAGGACCCTTCAGTCGACAGGCTGATGTTCTATTCACTGAGCCATACCAGCTAGGGTAAATTTGAATTTTCTAAAAACTCAGGACAGCCCCAATGGAATCAGTGTGGGGCCTAGATTTGGCTTCCAGGTCATTCCCTGGAGGCTGACCCAGGGTGATAGCAGAAGAAAGGCTGGGGGAGTGGGGACTGGTCACATGCCAGATGCCAGCTTCCCAATGAGCCCTACCTGAGGAGTCCAGTCCCAGACAGAGAGGATGGGGCTGCTCGCCCCCAAATTGGGTCTGGTAGGTGTGTGCTGCAGCCTTGCGGGAGTGGGGCTAGGGCCTGGGCCCCACTGGTGTGAGACCCTGGGTCTTGGCAAGGTGAGAATGTGGTTACTGTGTGCCCGGAGCTGGGCACAGTATGTAAAAGGGGTACTGACTAACCAGGTTCCATCTTCCCAGAGGTCACCTACCCAGGGAGGTGGTATCTAGTGATTTGGGGGTGGTTGTATCTAGATAGAAGGTTGTCTCTATTTAAGCTGAGTGAGGCCAGGGATCATCTAGGATTTCTGAGGGAAAGGAGCTGGAGAGAGGTGGTCACACCCGGACCAACCACTGGGCCTTACAGGAGGACTGTAGATTCAGAGCCTGTGGCTTGGGGGGCGGTGAACGAGGTCCCTGGAGCCTCATGGCCCCTCTCTTGCCCCATTGTGCTGTCAGGAGCCGCTCCCGCTCAGGGGACTGGTACAGGCGGGGCGGCCGGGGCCCCAGGCACCACAGCAGCAGCCGCAGCCGCAGCCGCAGCAGCTGGTCCCTCAGCCCATCCCGAAGTCGCAGTCTGACTCGGAGCCGCAGCCCCAGCCAGAGCCAGAGCCAGAGCCGCAGCCGCAGCCGCAGCTGTAGCCGAAGCCGTAGCCAGAGTCACTCATCTTCACCCCCGAGGGAGAAGCTGACCAGGCCGGCATCGTCCCCCGCGGTGGGCGAGAAGCTGAAAAAGTGAGCAGGTGCAGGGCTGTGGGAAGAAGATTGACAGCCTGAGATGGAGAATGAACTTGACCATTTTGGTTTTGAACTTGTCTCTGTCCTGGGAGGTGTGAGGGAGCATGGTCCTGACCTGGGAGGGTGGTTCTGAGGAGTCAGGGCCTTGCCTTGGATGGTGGGTCAGGGGGGTCCTATCCTGAGGGATCTGAGAGGGACAGGGTATCCCCTGGGGTCACCTGAGACCCATGGCCGTGACTCTGGTCTGAGGGCAGTGTTGAGGCTGTCTGGGGTCAGAGATGGCAGGTGTTCTTTCCTCCTCCCAGGACCGAACCTGCCGCTGGTAAAGAGACAGGAGCTGCCAAAGTCAGTAAGAATTTGGAACTCGCCCGTCTAACTCCCGCCAGCAGCAGTGCCCGAGTGCTGGGCCCGGTGGGCCTGCAGGGGGGCCCGGGTGGGCCGGGAGACCCAGCCCTGGGGATTGAGGGGGACTGGAAGGGTTCTGTCCCCATGAAATCCATGTCCCCTTCTCCTCACTCCTCACTGGGGCTCAGTCTCCCCTGGACCTCCAGACCTTCCTGGCAGGTGTCCATAGCTTGCTCTTCCCCACATGCCCCCAAAAGTTCCAGGCTCAATGAGGTGGGTTGTGGGAACTCCGGGACACCCACCCCCTCTCCCTCCTTTCTTCCCCCTCCCCCAGCCCAAGCTGACGCCACAGGAAAAGCTGAAGTTGAGGATGCAGAAGGCACTGAACAGACAGTGTATGTACCCCTCTGTCCCTCAAGTCTTCCTTGCTCCCCCTCCTCCCAGCCTGGCCTTTGGGAGAGGCACTCTGGGGAGGGGTGGGTATGCACACTGCTTTGCTGCCGTCATGCTAAGGGCCTTGGTAGGCTGGTTGACCGTCTGAACTTGAAGGCCTGCCAAGCCAGTGTCCCTCTCTCCCACAGTCAAGGCGGATAAGAAGGCCGCTCAGGAGAAGATGATACAACAGGAGCATGAACGGCAGGTGAGGGTGGAGTGAAAGGCGGGACGAGGGTGGGTGCCAGCTGGGCCAGCCCTCACTGCCATTTCTGCCTCAGGAGCGGGAAGATGAGCTTCGCGCCATGGCCCGGAAGATCCGTATGAAGTAAGACTTCTACTCCCTGTATCAGGGCCGCAGCCACCTTCTCCTGGGAAGCCCCCATTTCCTTTGTTCCCTGCCACCCCGCTCTGAGCTATAGCCCTGTGTCCTCCCTGCATCCCCAGCTTATCGCAGCCACTGGGACCCTGCTCCACCAGCTCCCAGCTCCCATTTCTGTTCCCCAGATCCTCACCTGGTTTCCTCCCTCCGTCCACTGGGGGGATCTTCTCCCTGACTATCCTGTCTAGAGTAGCACCCCCAAATGCTCCAAGCTCCAATCCTGCTGTGTGCTTCATAACACTAACCCTCACCTGCGTGCAGTCTGTTTGTGTGCTTGCTTATTATCCGTGTCCCCACTGAGATGCCAGGTCTGGCTGCTGTGTGTTCAGCCCCAGAACACGGAGGTGGTGCTCTTTGTGGCAGAGCTGAACTGCAGCCAGCCCCGTGGCTGGTCTGCCCAGTGCGGGAGACAGCTTCTCTCCTGTCCCCTCTGCTTCTCTTCTCGTTTTGTGTCTTCCACTGCAGAGCTGAGAGCCAGCTGTCTCTGTGTGGCCCTCACAGGCTGGCTCAGGGATTAGTGCCCACAAGGCCTCAGGCCCTGCCTCCCCACCCCACCCCCCAGCCACACTGGAGGCCGTAGTGCTCCGTATTAGCAAGGAGGGAAGTCAGTCAGTGGCAGGACCTTGTTGTCTGCTAGCAGTTCTGGTTCTACTCTGTACTTGCTGTGGTCCTTGGACAAATAACTTGACCCTCTGAGCTGGGACTCCTTCCTCTGAGACAGACGTACTAATGCCCCTATGAGGCTCCCAGTGTGGTGCCTGGCACATGGAAAGGCCCAATGCTGTTAGTGGTCATTGTTGACATCACTGTTTCACGCCCTTTGTGTGTTGGGTTTTCGAGGATGCTGTGTGCTTCCGTTAGGAGGCAGAATGCCAGAGGACTCGGTTTCATTCAGACCTGGGTTCTGATCCTGCCTGGTCCACCAGCTATGGGCCTTTCTCTTGTTTGAGTCTTAATTTGCTCAGCTACTTAAATAGGGAGGAAAAGTTGTCCCACCTCAGCCAGGAGAAGGTGCCCAGTAAATGTCGCCCTAAGGATTGCAAATCCCAGCCATTCTGTGGAACACCAATTAAGCACTTCGCATGTAAGTCCCTGTGTCTGTGACTGCGTGGAGTGGGACAGGACATGATTGAAGTAGGCAGCCCTCCTTTCTGTTTGTTCAGCGAACCTCTCAGAGCGAGGCTGACTAGGGTTGGAGTCCGGGCTCTGCCCAGCAAGCAAGCATCCCCTCTGAGCGCTCCTCGTTTTCCGTGCGGGGAAGCTGCTCTTCCACTGTGACTGGGATGTGAAGCACTTGCTCTGGGCAGGTGCCCCAGTGCCCCTGGGGTGGGTTCTGGGCAGCATGCTCACCCCTCCCTGGGTCGCCGCCCTGCCCTGCAGGGAACGGGAACGCCGGGAGAAGGAGCGAGAAGAGTGGGAGCGCCAGTACAGCCGGCAGAGCCGCTCTCCGTCCCCCCGTCACAGTGAGTGTCCCTGCCCCAGGCCCGGAGCTGTGGGGCAGGCTCGGGGCATTAAAAGAAGCGGGTTGTCTCAGCAGATAGAGCCTGGGGACCAAAGGGTCCCAGGTTCGATTCTGGTCATTGGCACGGTCACAGGCACGTTGCAGGCTCCTCCTTAGCCAGCCTGGTAGAGGCTCCTGCAGGAGGCAACCAGTTGATGTGTTTCTCTCACATCGATGTTTCTCTCTGCCTTTCCCTTCCTTTTCCACTCTCCCTAAAAATCAATGGGAAAATATCCTCAGATGAAGAGTAACAAAAACAAAAAGTGTCCTGACCTGAATGGCTGTTTTTTGAGTGTCAGCCTATGACCAGGAGGTCATGGTTGATTCCAGGTCAGGGCACATGCCTGGGTTGCAGGCTTGAGCCTCAGTGAGGGGTATACAGGGGGCAGCCAGTCAGTGATTCTCATCATTGATGTTTCTCCTTTTTCCTTCCTCTCTGAAATCAATACAAATACATTTTTAAAAAAGTGATGTCAAAACGGAATACAAAAAAACCGTGGTACATTCTCACGTTAGTCTTCTACGTTAAAACTCTTAAGATGCGTGCGTGCACACACGCAGGCATGCACACAGTGTTGCTTCAGTGGAGGGGTCTGCAGGACGGGAAGAAACGCTCGTTGGTGTAGGTGGGCGCACAGGGTGTAGTCCCAGCCCGGGGCCCATTCCTGGCCCTGGGCGTCTGCTTTGCCCTCACCTCCTCCTTCCTTCCTAGGTCGAGAGTACAGCTCTTCCCGAAGGTAAGCCAGACCAGCTGCCTGGGGGATCATAGTTGTCCTGTGCGGGAGGTCTGGCTGTGTTTGATCATCCATTCCCACCCTGCACCCTCCAGTGGTAGGGCTGCCTCCCTCCTTTGCAGCCACTGAAGCCCAAGTGGTCCCGAGTGTGCTGGTGCATGTGTGTACATGTACTCGCATGCACAGGGCTCCCCTGCTCTGCCTAGCCCTCACAGCCCCTCCCTTTCTCTTTCCAGGCGCTCAAGGTCCAGATCCCGCAGCCCCCATTATCGACATTAGGCAGAAGCGTGGGGGGGGGGAGGCTGGGATGGATAAGGGCTCAGGCTGTGATGCTGCTGGTTTTGTTCTCTAATGAAATAAATGTTATTTAATTCCCTTCACTTGGCCTCAGTGTCATCTGTGTGCTGGGTGCAGGCTCCCAAACTCCATTGTCCACCCGCCAGCGATGGGGGGGAGAGCTTCCTGGGAGTAGAGGGTCAGGTGCCGGGGTGCCTGTGTAGGAAGCCTGACTGCATCTGTGCCCGCGGCCCAGTGAGGGCAGGGGCTCCATGCAGCAGGAAAAGGCCCAGCACCCACATGTGGAGGATGGGCCAGGACTTTGCCCAGGGCCTCTGGTGACAGGTCCAGGCCTCTCCCTGCCCTCGCCCACATCGGGAACCGGGAGCACAGCTTTTTGTGCCAGTCCTGCCGAGCCACAGGCACTGGGGGCCGGTCTTTTCCCTCACCCCCTCATTCCAAACCGGTCTGTCCAGCCGTCCACCCCAAGGAGGGAAAGCCTGCCCCACCTCAGATGCCCCAAGAAAGCGAAGTCCACACGTGTATAACTACAGGGAGGGAGGGTTTATTCACAGCAGGACACGATCAACAGATACAGTGGCAGTGGCACCAGGGGGGAAGGGCATGCCTGCCACTCAGGCCTCCCCACCTGCTTGGGGGTGCTTCTGCCGCAGGTGTTTGTCCAGGGTGGCCCGCAGGCCGAAGGGCACAAGGCAGTGGGGGCACTCAAAGCGGGCACCGTCGGGCCCCATACCATGCATGCGGCGGTGGCGATTCAGCTTGCTGCTCTGGGCACAGGCGTAGGGGCAGAGGTCGCAGGTGTAGGGCCGCTCCCCGGTGTGTGAGCGCCGGTGCACAGTCAGGTTGCTGCTGTTGGTGAAATGTTTCCCACAGAACTCACATCTGCCCCCGGGCCCGTGGCTCTTGCCCACTGTCTTTGGAGTCTTCTTGGGTAACTTCTCTGGGACCTGGGCAGAGTTGATTCTCTCTTCGTTCGTGGCAGCTCCCCAGCTGTCCCCACCGGGACCAGCCTGAGCCCCACCACCCGGAGCCCCAGGTTCCTGCACACCTGCCGTGGCGGCGGCTCCAGCGCCTTCCCGGCTGCACAGGAGAGTCCTGGCTGGGGCAGCGGCATGGGCGGCCGGCTCCGGAGGGGCAGCTGAGGCCTGATCGGGACTGGCGTTGGCTGTGGGGGGGCTCTGAGACTGCAGCTGCTGGTGGGTCTTCTTGTGGCGGTTGAGCTTGCTGCTCTGGGCACAGGCGTAAGGACACTGGTCACAGGCATAGGGCCGCTCGCCTGTGTGTGAGCGCATGTGCACCTTGAGGTTGCTGAAGGAGCTGAGGGTCTTCATGCACACGGGGCAGGTGGGGGTCCGCCGGGGGAGGCTGTTTGCCCGGGAGCTTTTGGCCTCCGCTTCCTGCCCCACCACCGCTGACATGGCTGCGGCCACCTCTGCCAGGCCCAGCAGGGGAGTCTCTGGGGCCTCAGATTCTGTCTGGTAGATGGACAGTCCATGGTCCCACTGGGCATGGCGCAGCAGTTTCCAGGCCCTGGTGAACTGTCGGCCACAGCGGAGGCAAATCAAGGTCTTCAGGTTCTCGAGTTCTGCAGAGAAGGGCTGGGTGTCAGTGTGAGGGTAAAAGGCACGGCGGTGCGGGTCACAGCTTACCAGATGGACACATTCTGTGGGAAAGGCTATGTTCTAGGGCCCCAGAATGGCCAGAGGACAGGGAAGCCCCTGCCCTCAGGAAGCTGGTTTTCAGGGATGGGGGTAGATGGACAAGAAGCAAGGAAAATCTGGAGTGGACAATGAGTATGCAAGGGTTCCTTCTGTGCTTGAAAATCATCAAGATGCCCTCCCGGCCAGGTAGCTCAATTGGATAGAGCATCATCCCCATACACCCAAGGTTGTGGGTTCAGTCCCCAGTCAGAGCACATATAAAAAGCAACCAATGAATGCATAAGAAAGTGGTACAAACCAACTTTAAAAGAAGAAAGGAAACCTTTGTGAAAAAGTAAGTTAAAAACAAAAGTTAAAGAGTGAGGGCCGGGGAGTACTATTTCATATTAGGGGATCAAGAAGGCCTTGCTCAAAGTGACCAAAACCAGTGTGATAGCCCTAGCCGGTTTGCTCAGTGGATAGAGCATTGGCCTGCGAACCAAAGGGCCCCAAGTTCAATTCCAGTCAAAGGCATGTACCTGGAAGGGCACATGCAGGAGACAACCAATGTGTCTCTCACATGGATGTTTCTCTCCCCCTTCTCCCTTCCACACTAAAAATCCATGGAAAAATATCTTCAGGTGAAGATTAACAAAAAACACACAAAAAATTAAAACCAATAAAAATGTATTTTATAAGAACCTCTGAGCCTGTTTCCACAATTGCTAGAATATGGGGATCCTCTCCCTTTTAGGTTGCTGTGACCTCAAATGGGGAACCAATGAAAGTTTGGGTCCATGTAATCTCTGTGAACATTAGCTGGGCTGAGTCCACAATCCTCCCGGAGTCTCAGTGTCTTATTCCAATAATCCCATCAGCCCCTCCCTGCTCCCACTCAAATCACAGCTCTTCCTTTCACTTTAGGACCCTCCCTGTGGCCAGCCCTGGAGAAAATCTGTTTATAGGCTGGAAGCTGAAAATCACGGTAAGGGTTTAATTCCATCCCGAGAGAAGGAACCCAGGTGCCCCGGCAGGAGGACCCGGTTCAAACCAGGGGCTTCCCAGCAAGCAGGACTGGGAGATTCCAGGGGAGGGGGCCACACCAACTACCCTTCCAGCTGGCCTCAGGCCGCCCCTCCCCCAGACCACCGCCCTCCCCAGGGTCCCCCCTACTGCCACGCTGGTCCAGCCACCTGGCCAGTTATTTCTGGCCAAGGGGAAGGAGAAGTGAAACCAGATTGGGGGGGCGTGTGTGGCAAGTCCCCAGACCAGTCTTCTGGGGCTGGCCACACCCAGTGGGCCATCCTCCTTCCCTGCCCAGCCCTGCCCCCACCCCTCTCACCACCACTAGTCCCAGCCCTAGGACAGGGCAGGCCCTGGCCACGCCTAGGCTACACCCGACGGGGGAGCCAGAAAGGGGAAGTGCTGCTCACTGCCCCGCCTGTCCAGCTCAGCCCCTGCTCCCACAGGAAGCCGGGCGGTGAACCTGAGAAGGGGTTGCATCTCGACTTTACTCACCTGAGTCCGGGCAAGGGCTGGGGCCTCGGTAGGGCTGACAGCCCAGCTTCTTGTGGTCCATGAAGGCGGTGATGGCCTTCAGCGGGAAGGTCTGCAGGCAGAGGCCGCAGGTCAACGTGTCTGGGTGTTTGTCGGTCCAGGGCTGGCGGTCTGCAGGGAGGAAGCGGGTGGTGAGCATGGGGTGGGGCCAGCACAGGCCGGGGGTTCCGAGGGCGAGGGGAAACCCGGAGGTGAGAAGGGAGCCAGGACCGGGCCACGGAAACACAGCAGAGGCCGGGGGCGTGGAGCGGAGCCGGCGGAGGGCGTCCCACCGAGAGGGAAGGAAAGGCGAGGGCAGTGGGGTCCGGCACGGGGCGGGGGGGGGGGGGGGGGCCCTCTTACCGTGAGGACCAGGGACCGGAGAGGTCCACGGCGCCGCCAGGTTCCGCGAGCCGAGGGCGAGGAGGGTCCCGGCGGCGGGCAGCAGGCTGGGGCAGCAGCGGGGCTCGCCCCCGGGCCGGCCCGGCGCCGGCCCCTCCTTGGCGGCGCGCGGCTGCAGCCCCGCGGCCTGCGGGGACCACGAGCGGGGCTCGGGCTTCACGTCGATGACCAGCTCCCGCATCTCCGGCTCGTCGTCGGAGGCCGCGGCGGCGGGCTCCGGGTCAACTCGGCGGGGCGCGCAGCCGGCCTTGCGGCGGGACATGGGTCGCGGTCCGGGCGGGCGGGCGGGCGGCGGGCGGCGCGCGGCGTGTGCTCTCGGCGGAGACTCTCAGGTGAGTGGCGGCGGCGGCGACTGGCCGCGAACCTTTACACGTGCTGGCCCGGCCGTGGCTCCGCCCCCGGGGCGGGGCCTGCGAGGGGAGGGGGCGGCCCGCAGGGGCCCTGCCGGAGTCCCAACCGCCGTGCCCGCTGGAGTTGGCTTAATCTGACTACACCTAAGGACACCCAGTTCTCACGGCCGGCGCAGAGACGGCTGTTTCATTTTAAATATATATATATATATATATATATATATCTTATTGATTTTTCACAGAGAGAAAGGGAGAGGGATAGAGAGCTAGAAACATCAATAAGAGAGAGACACATCGACCAGCTGCCTCTTGCACCCCCTCCACTGGGGATGTGCCCGCAACCAAGGTACATATGCCTTTGACCGGAATCAAACCTGGGACCCCTCAGTCCACAGACCTACGCTCTATCCAGAGCCAAACCGGTTTCGGCGAGATGGCTATTTCACAGCCCGTTTCAGGGCGGGTGAAACTGAGGCCCCGAATCCCCACCAACACCCAGGAGAGGGAAAAGGGTAGGGGCCGTGTTTCTCACGATGCCCCTAACAGTCTCTTGGACTCTTTTCAGTAAATACACAATAAAAACTCACTGGGCAAACCTTTATTGAGGGCCTGTTGGGCACCAGGTACGGTATCCCCTAAGTACTTGGGGGTCCTGCGGCGAACCCAACAGACAATAATCCCTGGCCCCCCGAGTTTACTGGTTCAGGGAGACTACGCTGAACAAGGTAAGGATGTAAAATAGAGCGCCTTCCTGAGTGACCAATGTCACCTGGAGCCAAACAAAGCTAGGAAAGGTTATAAAGGGGCAGGGTGACATGGGGGGGGGGGGCGCCTCAATTTCCTCCCCACACCAGGGAAAGGTAGGGTGGAGTTGAGGCCTGAGGGAGGGGAGGGAGTCAGCTGGTCTCTGTTCAAGAACAAGGAGGGGGGACTCTTTTCCCCTCCCCACTTGGGAGTCTGTACTTGTACTTCAATAAGTTTCCACCTTTGCTGTACAAAATCAACGATATAATAATAATAAATAAATAAAAACAACACAGAGAGGGAGGAGACGGACAGGAGGGGGGTTTGAGCTCCGTGAGAAAATGGAGTCAGCTTCGAGAGGGTCTTCTGACCACTTGAAAGTGTCGGTGTTTGGAGAGGTGCGCCTTGGGAGCTTGAGCGAAGAGGATTGTGGTCGTGCACAGACCTACTCTGCTCCTGTACCTGGACTCGGCATGAAAGCCAACTAGCCATCTGTCCTAGCTCTCCCCGCACGGCCTCCTCGAACTTCCCTCCTCAAAGCAGCCCTTTCAGATCGCTGTTTGAAGTGGCATCAACACCCTGCCCCACCCTCCAACCCTTACAAGTTTTCTTTTCTTCCTGACACCAACCACATCACCATACAGAACGGTTTCTAGACTGTCCTCTCCCTTCCCCCACCCTACACGAGGCTTAAAGTCAGGGCCGGAGTGTGTCCTCCCCCGGGGCCCAGCACTCCCAAACCCAGTGGATTTCAGGTATTAACCTGGCCACCCCCCCCCCCCCCCTCCCCACCCCCTGTTCTGCTCCTGGCCCCTCAGGGTCAAGGTCCCTCACATTGTTATGTTATTCAGATCTCCCTCAGGGTGGCTGAATTGTCCTTCTGAGAGCCAAGGGCCACCTTTTCCGAGGTGCCAGCAGCCCCACCCTGCTTAAAGCCTTCTAATCACACTCCATGACCTCCATCTGCCCCTCTTCCCTCCTGGGCCTCATTTCCCCAGATGTTACCTGACTTGGTTTCTTCACGGCCAGCTTCTGACCACCCAATTAAAGCAGCTCACCAACCTGCCACCCACGGACCACTGCCTCTACTTTCTTCCTGTTACATCACCAGCAAGGCCCCATGCATTTGTTGAAGCCACTGCTCCTATATCTTATCTTATTCTGTCCCTCCCGGCCACCCTAGAATGCAGTTATGAGAAGGCAGGGGCCCAGTCCGTCTTGTTCATAAACAGAGCCCCTGTTCCTCAATACAAAACAGAATATCTATCCTTTCAATAGACATTGGTAGGGGGCCTCCCTGTGCCAGCCATTAAGCCTCGGGGCGCTAGCTAGTGGGAAGCAGAGGCTCACCAAGCCCCTGCCTCAGTGAAGCCGTGTGGAAGGGGGCTGTCTGGGCCCAGAGCAGCGAGGTTCCTGAGGTCAGCCTGCCAGGGCCTCGGTTTCCTCTGTGAAAAGGGACTGCAGGGACGGTTGCGGGACAAAAAGGCTGCCTCGCTTCTTCCAGCTGCTGCTCTCCAAGGCTTTTTATTGTATTTTTGGCTGCTTGAAGCCTAATCTCAAGGTTTCAAGCAGGGAAGGTGGGCTCGGGGCTGGAGGAAGAGGTTAGGCGTGTGCACGTGTAGGGGAAGTGGGGGATGGGGCAGGCACCCCGTCTTTGAACCTCAGAATCTTCTTCCACAAAACGGGCATCCCGGCCCCCCCACCTCGCAGACGGCGGACGAGCTCCGAGCGCCCGCCCCGCCGCCCGCGCCCCGGCCCGGAGCCGCCCGCCCGCGACCACGTGGGGCGGCGGCGGCGGAACGCAGGCTGGCGGCGCGCGGCCCGCCCGGGCCTCTGGCGCGGGGACGCCGGCGGAAGTGGGGCGCCGGCGCGCAGCGCTCGGTGAGTGCGGGCGTTGGTGGGGGAGCGCAGCTTCCCGCTCCCCGGTCCCGGCCCCGCGCCCACCCGCGGGCCGCCCGGCCGGAGGGGCGGGGGAGGCTGGTCCGCGGCGCGGGCTGCGCTGACGCCGCGGCCCCCGAACGGCCGCTCCGCGGAGTCGGGTTGGAACCCGCGTGCGGGATGTTCCCGCGCCGGGGTGAGGCGCGGAGAGGGGGGTGCGGCGGGGAGCGGGGGGTGCGGCGGGGAGCGTGGGGGTGAGGCGGGGAGCGGGGAGTGCGGCGGGGAGCGTGGGGGTGAGGCGGGGAGCGGGGGGTGCGGCGGGTCCGTGGGAGTGAGGGGGGAGCGTGGGGGTGCGGGGGTGTGAGGTGGGGAGCGGGGGGTGCGGCGGGGAGCGGGGGGATGCGGCGGGGAGCGGGGGGATGCGGCGGGGAGCGGGGGGGGTGCGGCGGGGACCGTGGGGGTGCGGGGGTGTGAGGTGGGGGTGCTGTGGGGAGCGTGGGGGTGTGGTGGGGAGCGTGGGGTGCGGCGGGGACCGTGTGGGTGCGGGGTGGAGCGTGGGGGTGAGGGTAAGGGCTACGCTGACGGTAATAGTCACAACAGCAGCAGTCAGACCCCCCACACACCACACCCCCACCCCCTCCCCGCTTCCAGGGCGGAACCGCCGGCCGAATCCGAGCGGGAGACGGGAAGCGTGTCCAGCCCTGGGCGGAGAGGAATGGGGAGTGGACGCCTGGGGGCCGGGAGGACCCACTTAGTATATGAATGGGAGAGCGATGGGTGGTCAGGGAGGAAATGAAAGGAAACTGACCGGCCCGGGGGGTGGAGGGGAGGGGAGGGGTCTCTCCCATTGAACTAATCTGCCTCCAGGTGGGCAGCCCGCGGGGCGTGTGGACAGACAGGTCATCTTGGTGAACTCGGTCTGGGGGCCTCGTTAAACTGGTAACTCAGCTGTTCCCCTCCCCGGCCATTGAAGAGTTTGGCTAGACATGTGTCCCAAGATCTGATCCATTGCCATTTCCTTTTCTTTTCTTTTTTAAAATATATTTTATTGATTATTTATTTATTTATTTATTTACAGAGAGGAATAGGGAGTTAGAAACATCAATGAGTGAGAAACATGGATCAGCTGCCTCCTGCACACTCCCTTCTGGGGATGTGCCCGCAACCAAGCCGCAACCAAGGTACTTGCCCTTGACCGGAATCCAACCTGGGACCTTGAGTCCGCAGGCCAACGCTCTATCCACTGAGCCAAACCGGTCAGGGCGCCATTTTCTTGGAAGTGAGTCTGAGGCCCCAAGGAGGGAGGTCTGTGCGTCTCTTGCCCCTGCCATTGACCTCAGTGATGAGATCTGGAGTCAGACGGATTCGCTTGTCAGGTAGTGGGGGATGGGTTTGGACTGGTCCCTGAAACCTGTCTGCAGGAAATCCTTGGCGGGGAGATCTGGTCACCTGGGAGAGTGGATTAAGGCCTGCTTTTGTCTTCTTGGGCACACCCTTTGGGACCTTTCTCATGCCCGTTTCCTCTCTTTTTGGCTCTCATTTATTTTCCTTTTTTAATTTTTTAAGAATATGTTTGTATTAATTTTTAGAAAGAGAAAAGAGAGGGATAGAGAGATGGAAACAACAATGAGAGAGAAACATTATTGATCCCCACTAGGGGATCGAGCCTGCAACCCAAGCATGTGCCCTGACCGGGAATCAAACCAGTGACTTCTTGGTTGCTGGGTCGATGCCCGTCACCTGAGCCACACCAGATGAACTAGTTTCCTTTTTTTCTTTATTCTTTTACATTTTTTAAATTAAATTATTATCTGTATACATATTTTAACATTGCCCCCCCTCCCATATATACCCTCCCTCCCCAGAGTTTTGTGTCCATTGGTTGTACTTATATGCATGTATACAAGTCCTTCGGTTGATCTATTATCTCCCCCAGATCACCCTACCCTCCCCGCTGTAATTTGACAGTCTGCTTGTTGCTTTACTGTCTCTATATCTATCTTCCTTTTTAAAAATGTAGGTTTAAAGTCATCCAACATACAGATGTAACTGTGGCTCCTTACATATTTTGTTCTATCTAAAGTTAGGTAGTTTAGCTCTAAGATGAAAAAAATGATCTCATTAAAATGACTAAATTTCTGGAAAATGGGATTTGTATTTAATTGACGGAAAATAAGCTCCCATTATCCCTCCCTCCCAAATCAAACAAACCAGAGCTGATCCAGGAAGACAGTTCACACCCATGGCTAACACATGGTGCCTATGCAGAGAGGGCCCTGAATTAAGCAATGTTGTTAAACTTTTTAAACAAGCAACTTCTGCCGAAACTGGTCCGGCTCAGTGCATAGAGCATCGGCCTGCGGACTGAAGGGTTCCAAGTTCGATTCCGGTCAAGGGCATGTGTGTTGGTTGTGGGCACATCCCCAGTGGGGGGGGGGTGCAAGAGGCAGCTGATCGATGATTCTCTCTCATCGATGTTTCTAACTCTCTATCCCTCTCTCTTCCTCTCTGTAAAAAAATCAATAAAATATATATTTTTAAAAATAAAAATAAATAAGCAACTTCTTTATTCAGAAAAGGAAGACTGAAGAAAAGCATTTTCCTTTTAGCCCGAGCGGCTATGAATAGTGAAAACCAACCAATTTAAAGTCCCTGGAATGCATGCAACTTAGAATCTCCCAACGCACACTGCTCTCAAGGTCACCAGCTGTTTGCTGTTCTGCGGAGGTTGTGAGTGGCTGCTGCTTTTGGCCTCTGGCTGCTCGGTTTCAGTTTTAGGATCTCCATTTCCAGCACTTTTCTTACCCTTGTCTGCTGCCACGGCATCTCTGATTCTGGCAGTGGCTGATCACTTCCATGGAGCTGGGCTGGAGTCATAAACCTGGACTTGACCTGGGACATCTCTTGCTTTCTGTTCCATTTTTTCCAGGACAGTCGGAACCTTCCTACCACCATCTCCCTGGCCTGGCAGACATCAGCTGGTCGTCCTTCAGGATCTGCCCAATCCAGAGCCGGTAGCTCGTTGGTCCATTATCAGGTACTTTTGTCCGTCTTCTTACCTTCAGAGTTATCCACAAGCCTGCTCCAGGATGGCTTCTACTCTCAGCACCCCTGGATATTAGGGGGTACCTCGGCCTCTCCTGGCTTTGGAGGTGTGGCTCCCACAGAGGCAGGGCTGGGGCTGCCCTCTCGTCTGCAGCCACATTCTCGGAGGGTCATCAGGTCAGAGGCCTCCCCTGTGCTGCAGGCCACTGGGTTGTGCTCCCTCTTCCTGCCACTCACTAGCGTGCACCCAGCAAATGATTTGACATCTCCCAGTTCCAGTTTTCTTTTGTGGAGAACGGGGATTGCACTCATAGGACCAAACCTGTTTGTTACCATCACCCCCCCACCACCACCCCCAAGAGAACAAGGCCCTGTGCTGACCCGCCCTGAATTTTGTTTTATCTGGAGATTTAATTTAACGGCCAAGTCCTTGGCCACTTGCTTAATTTCCCATGAAAAAATGCACTAATCCTGGTGACTAGTAATTTCTCTTAAGCCACTCAAGTGCTAATCTAGGTTGGGGGTAGCCCTGGGGGCTGATGACCTTTGACTAAGCTTGGCGTGCCCTGGACAAGTAGATTAGGGGATGTATTTGCCCATTAGTCCCATGTACTGTGGTCTTCCAGACCAGGCAAAACCTGGGGCCTTCCATGGCTCTGCGTTTTCTCTCAGTCCATCAGCAAATAGCGAGAGCCCTCAACTTTCAAAGCATGCCCTAATCTGACCACTTCTGGAACCCCCACTGTTACCACCCCGTCCCAGCACAGCTGTCCTCCAGCCGGACCGCTGTGTGCCTTCCCCACTGGGCTCCCAGCTCCTGCTCTGTCCCCCCTGTCCATTTTCTGTGCCGCAGGCAGGGGGATCCTGGGAAAGCCAGTCAGGTCCTGTCCCTCCTCCAGTCAGAGCCTCATGGCTCCTGTCTCTCCCAGAGTACAAGCCCGGACGTTCTGCCTCTGCCCCCACCTCGGCCTCCACCTCTCCCGCGCTGGCCGCCTTGCTAAGCCTCCGAGTCGCCGTTCCTTGGTCTTTGTGTTTGCTGTTCCCGCTGACCGGAAGGCTTCTACCGCGACCTCCACGTGGCTTGTTCCTATTTCATTGAGGTCTGTGCTCACAGGTGGCCTCGTCGGAGCGATCTCCCCTGAGTGCCCTGCTTTCTGGAAACCATCTCTTTTATTATTATTTTTTTAATTTTATTTATTTTTTACAGAGAGGAAGGGAGAGGGATAGAGAGTTAGAAACATCGATGAGAGAGGAACATCGATCAGCTGCCTCCTACACCCCCTCGCCCCCCCCCCTGGGGATGTGCCTGTTACATGCCCTTGACTGGAATCGATCCTGGGACCCTTGCGTCCGCAGGCCTACGCTCTATCCACTGAGCCTAACCGGTTTCGGCTGGAAAGCATCTCTTGCCCCGAGGCTGAGCCAGGTGTGTCCTCGGGGCTCTTGACGCCCTAGGGCTCCTTCATTCCAGCCCTGCCTGTTCTGGTCAACATTGTCCAGATTAGAGACAAGTCTGTGTCACTCACGAGGGCTGTTCCAGTCACCGCTGTGTCCTCCCTACCACACCGCACGGGCTGGGCGCAGAACAGGAACTAAGATAGTGTGGATGGGTGAATCTTTACATTCCATACGCGAATATTTACAGACTCCCCCTGGGGCAGGCCCCGAGAGGGGCTGGGGATGGAGTTGGTTAGTAATCCGACATGTCCCTTCTCTCAGAGGCTGTGTTCTGTGGCAGAGCAGACAGCACAGAGGAAAGCAAAGAAATGCGTTTTGTCAGGAGGTGACCGGGCTCAGAGAAAAGATACTGTGGGGTGAAAGGGCCATTATTTTTATTGTTTTTCTCCTAGTGAAGGAGGTGTTTGCACAATGACTGAGTGATGCGAGGGGGGAGGTGAACCATGACTGGAAATACACGTCTCCCACTTGGGAGAGGGTTCTAGGGGCAAGAATAGCACGTGGAAAGGGCCTGAGGCAGGAATGTGCTTGGCGAGTTCAAGGACCAACAGTGAGCAAAGGGTGGAGCGGGGGAGGAGGTCAGAGAGGCGATGGGTCCTCCTGTGTAGCCTTTATAAGAATGTCGGCTTTTGCTGCGGCTGAGGCAGGAGCAGATGAGAGCTTAGTAGAGGAGGGATGGCGATGAGTTCTAACAGGATCTCTGACAGCTGAGGGGGGAGAGACGGGGGTGAAGGTGGGGGCATGGTGCCCGAAGGAGAGAAGACGGACTGCAGTAGTCTAGGTGGAGGTCCTGGTGACGAATGAGGAGGGGGCAGAGTGGGGAATGAGAAATGACCAGATTCTGGATTTGTGGTGGTTTTTTTGTTTGTTTTGTGTGTGTGTGTGGGGGGGGTTGTTTTGTTCATCTTCATTTGAGGATTTTTTCCATTGGTTTTTTAATTTTTTATTTATTTTTATTTATTTATTTAATTTTTTTATTAAATTATTATCTGTACATATTTTAACATTGCCCCCCCCCCCATTGGTTTTTAAAGAGAGGGAAAGGGATGGAGGGAGGGAGAGAGGGGAGAGAGAGAGAGAGAGAGAGAGAGAGAGAGAGAGAGAGAGAGAGAGAGAGATTGATTGCTTCCCACACGCCTCCCACAAATATCCTATTTGGGGCCAGGAATTGCAACCCAGGTACTTGCCGTTGATTGGAACAGAACATTCTTCGACTCTTCTGTGCTCAGGTTGACACTAACCTCTGAGCCACACTGGCCAGGACCTGATGCATTTTTTAAGTGGAGCTGACAGACTTTACTGGCGGATTGGTTGAATGTGGGTAGCAGAGGAATTGAGGAGTCTGGACACTGGGGCGTCCTTTATCTGTGTGATCACCAACCTCCCCCCAGAGATTGGCCTTCTCCCGACACTCGGTCTTTTTTATGCTTCATTTCGCAGATGAGGAACTGGGACAGGAAGGCTGCCCGTAGAGTTGCAGTGACCTGCCCAGATCCCTGGTATGAATCTGGGCTTAAGACCCACTGGTCTCCCCCAGTTCACATCCTTATCCTTCCTCCCTGATGGAAAGCTGTGGCCCCACCCCCTTTCTTGCAAGACCAAGCTAAGAGCGGGTTTTACATTTTTAAGTGTTTTGGAAAACTTTTTTATTTTATTTTTTATTTTTTAAAAAAATATATTTTATTGATTTTGTACAGAGAGGAAGGGAGAGAGATAGAGAGTTAGAAACAAACGATGAGAGAGAGTCATCGATCAGCTGCCTCTTGCACACCCCCCACTGGGGATATGCCCGCAACCAAGGTACATGCCCTTGACTGGAATCGAACCCGGGTCCCTTCAGTCCCAAGCCGACGCTCTATCCACTGAGCCAAACCGGTTTCGGCTGGAAAACTTTTTTAAAAAGGCGTTTGTGCTGTGTGAAATTATATAAAATTCAAAATTCAGTGTCCCAGTAAGTAAGGTTTTATTGGAGCACTGAGGCCTGGCACATGAATTTGTGCCTCAGTGGGGTCCCTCAGCCTGGCTTGTGGGATCGGGCTGAAACTGGCTCTCTGACATCCCCCAAGGGGCCCCAGGTTGCTAGAGGGTGCAGGCCAGGCCGGGGGACCCCACTGTGCACCACTGAGGCCGGGAGGAGGTCAGGAGGGCTCCAGGGCATGTCTGGACTGCCTGGCTCAGTCCCAATCGGCTGGACCCCAGCAGCAAGCCAACCTGCTAGTTGGAGCATCTGCCCCCTGATGGTCAGTGCACATCATAGCTGCTGGTTGACCCGTCGACTGTCTGCCCCCTGGTGGTCAGTGCAGGTCTTGTTGAGTGACCTTAGCATATCATTAGCATATTATGCTTTGATTGGTTAAGTGGCTGACCAGACAACTGTATACTTACCGTGTTTCCCCAAAAATAAGACATCCCCTGAACATAAGACCTAGTGCAACTTTGGGAGAAAAAATTAATATAAGACACTGTCTTATTTTCGGGGAAACAGTGTAGTTAGTATATTAAGGCTTTTATTATATAGGATAGCCATGTTCTTAGTTTATGTTTTATTTATGGTTTTCCTGCTACTATGGCAGAGTTGAGTAGTGTGACGGAGACCCTATGACCCATGAAGCCTAAAATATTTACTATTGGGCCCTTTACAGAGCTGTTACTTAACTTCTGCTGATAAGGCACATATTGGGCTCCCAATAGGACTTGGCAGCTAGTTCCACAGGGGCTGGGAAAGGTCTGGGTCAGGGACAGAAAGGTTTGGGAGTGCGTGACTGTAAGGTTAGGAGAGGGCGTTCAGGTTTGGCTCAGTGGATAGAGCATCAGCCTGCAGACTGCACGGGCACATGCCCAGGTTGTGGGCTCAGTTCCTAGTAGGGGTAGTGCAGGAGGCAGCTGATCAATGTTTCTCTCTCCCTCCCTCTTCCTTCCTCTCTGAAATCAATGAAGACATATTTTAAAACACACACACACATCAGTGATTCATCATTGATGTTTCTCTCTCTCCCCCTCCCTTCCTCTCAGAAATCAATAAGATATATATATATATATATATATATCCCGGCCAGCCCATGGCTCAGTGGTTGAGCGTTAACCTCACTAAAAATATTTTTGTTATTTATTTTTTTTAATATTGATTTCAGAGAGGAAGGAAGAGGGAGAGAGAGATTAAAAACATCAATGATGGCTGAAACCGGTTTGGCTCAGTGGTAGAGCCTGCGGACTGAAGGGTCCCGGGTTCGATTCTGGTCAAGGGCATGTACCTTGGTTGCGGGCACATCCCCGGTAGGGGGTGTGCAAGAGGCAGCTGGTTGATGTTTCTCTCTCATCGACGTTTCTAGCTCTTTATCTCTCTCCCTTTCTGTAAAAAATCAATAAAATTTGTTAAAAAAACAAAACAAAACAAAAAAAACATCAATGATGAAAGAGACCTATTGACCAGCTGCCTCCTACATGCCCCCTATTGGAGATGGATCCCACAACCCAGTCATGTGTTCTGACTGGGAATGGAACTGTGACCTCCTGGTTCATAGGTTGATGCTCAAC